TTATCTGCTGACTCTAACCAAGTCACTTCTGGGAACTCGTCAAGCCTATGAAGACTGCTGATATTTATAACCCCTTTGAAAGCCAGGGGGAAGGACTGCAATGTACTGCTTTGCAATAGGTTGCAGGCCCTTATGACACTTGAAAGATTAAGCAAGACCTGCACTTGAAGTTGAAGGTGGTACCTGAGTTGGCAAACTGGAAGGCATTGTGCTGTATTTGGGGGTTCATGACAGGCCCATACTGTCCTCCCATGCTCCCCATGATCCCTTGGTTAGCCAGATTCATCTGGGAGCCATGCAAAGAGCTGTGAGAGAGCGACTGTGACCCAGGGCTGGGGGGCACTGGGGAGAAAGGACTGGTGAAAGGTGGTGGGGATGGAATTCCAGTACCGTAGTTCGGTGGAAATGGGAACTGCTGTGTATTGGCTTGTGGGATCCGTGGGCTGCTTATTGATGTTGGCATGGCTCCGGAGGGCACCATGTTGGGTGGCATATTAAGCCCTTGTCCTCTCATCAGCATAGCCCTGTGCTGAACTTGTTGTTGTTGCTGCTGCTGCTGCTGCTGCTGTTGTTGTTGCTGCTGAAGTTGTCTTTGCCGTAAGTGCTGACTTAGGATCTCCCGCTGTCTTTGGGCCAACATCTGGGCATTGATAGGTCCCTGCAATCAGTAAGCACATTATGTTTTCTACGCAGGCACAGGGAAATAATTTACTATTAAAGGCCAAGAATAAAAAAAAAAATAAAAAAAAATAAGGAAAATAAATAAAACGTAAACACATGAAAGTATCAAAGTAGGTAAATGTCACAACACTTGAACACTACATGTCAACCACCAACATGACAGGACACCAGTATTTTGGAAGTAAACCATCAAATTCTAAAAACCTTAAACTATGCAACATTTTTCAGACCATAAACTGTAGAAATCAGAAAGGGCTTTCACGAGCATAATATTTTTACATAAGACAACCCTAGCATACGTGATTATATTGTCAACATAAAAAATAAGCTACAACTTGAAAAACCTACTAACTTAAACAAACAAACCATATAAACAAAAAGGGGAAAAGATGAAATCCTATAGCAGAACTGTAACTTCCTTGGAAATTATACAACTGAATAACCTTGTGTAAACCTTTTTCATGTGATGCTCTGAGACGATAGGGATTAAAAATCCTGAAAATTGACAACTCCCATTTAACACAAAAATTTAAATTTAAAGTAAAAAAACCCAAACAATATATATATATATATCAATTTAAAAAAAAAAACATTTTTAACAATCTAAAAGAATTCCATATTCCCATATCTTGTTACAAAGTTGGGTACCTGTTCTCTTATCTGGCTTGGAACTCCTTGCCGTAGTGCCAGATTCATACTCGAGACTGCATTCATTGGATTCATTATTGGTTGCCGGTTCTTAAAATAAAAAAACACAACATTACTACATTATGATCTTAACTGTAAGAAAAAATAAAATAAAAACTAAAGGTGGTTTTATGGTCACATATTATAAGGCAGTGAAAGGATTATCTCTGGGCAAGCTTTATTGTGCTAAGAGAAAGAAATACCTGCTGGGCTTGGAGCCGGTGCTGAAGCTGTAGTCTCAGTTGGTTTGGCTGGCTCGGTACCATTCCTTGTGGCCGTAATCCTGGTCGAGTTTGCATTCGCAGCATTCCATAGTTTGGACGTTGTCCCATGGCGTGGAAGCTTGGATCCTGCATCGGATTATAACTATTCTGTGCCATCTGCCCCTGAGCAGCATACGCATGGTTAAAAATAGGTGCCTTTTGTTCCATGATTAAGTTTGAATCCTGATTTACAAAGGATTCTGGATCAACAGATTGACCCTACCAAATAGATAAAACTATTTTAAACCCGTTTCATAAGTGTATGTTCTACATAAATCTTAAAGCATGCATCAATCATGGAGGTTCCTTCTACCAAATTTAAAATAATATGCATTAGGTTGGGTTTCAGTGAAGAGCAGTTAATGCAAAAGTTGGCAGCCATATTTGGTACTGGCCTTCCCTTGGTTTATAATAATTACACTCATAATAATTAGGGTAAATTATCTCTAAAAATTTAAAATATATGCAGACATACAACATTTAGTGGCTATATATCAGACTATGAGGTTGCCTTTTACATAGAAACATTACTGCAACTGCACCTCTAAAATCATTCAAGGTTTAGCATGTTCTTGGTTTGGGGTTTGAAGTTACATAATCCAAAATGCCAGAACAAGTGGGAAAATGTCTGATGGGTTCAAACAGACATTTATCTAGCAAGTACAATAATGCACAGAGGAAGGTCTCTAATGGTACATACCTGGCTGACAAGCTCTGGTATTCCAAGAGCGCGGTCAATCTCTTCTATGCCATCAATATTCCTCAAAGCCATGTAAAGTTGATCCATAAGATTCCCCTCATCCGTCGGCGAGTTTGAAGAAATGGGCTGACATAGCAATTCCTCTTGCGGACTTCCAAATTGCTGCCTGTAAGCAAATTGCATTTATGTGATTTTTATTTATTTTTTTAAATAGAGGTAGAGAAAAATAAAATAAAAAAAATTTCATCCAGAGATGGTTAATCTTGTGTGAAACTCACCTATTTTGATTGCTGTATGACGTTTGTTCAATAGGCAAAATACTTTCAGGCCAGGGTGCAGTTTGGTTGGGGGGAGCTTGCTGTTGGGTGTAAGGAGGTCCACCAACATTTAGTTCTAATTCTGAAGGACCTAGGAACATAATAGATGGTCAGAAGCAAAACTAGCAGTGCCAGAATGACAAATATAAAAGTAATTATAAAATACATTAAAATTATAAAGCAAAACACAAATGGTCTTATCTCATATATACACACACACACACACCTTATTTATAGATGCAGGGTGCAGTATAACTCAAATCTACATAAAAGGTACTGACAGTATCAAAATTAACTGAATATCTTAAGGCTAGTCAGTCAAGCTAGGGTTACAATGTAGAAGACTGGTAAGAAATAGGATTGACATGTATCTACTCAAAATTTAAATGCTACAATAAATGGTGTAATAAAAAAAAAAAATTTTTAAACTGTCCAAACTTAGATCCTCAAACCTGTCATCATGACAATAAAGAGGAGCTTGAGGCACTGCCTATGATCCTTTAAAATTATCTTACAAGATAAACCCAGGTCTGCACACATTACTAAATCATACTCACCCATACTCATCACTGAAGACTGCAGCATTGGCCTTGGGCATGACTGATTGTTGGGTCTCATCTGAATATTGGCATTCGGGCTGCGTATCATGCCTTGAAGCTGTCTGTTCATTGTATTAACCGCTGTCGGGCCCGCTGTTCGGACTGCAGATGCGTGAGACCCCCAGTCTCCTGACTGCATTGGGGGCCGTTGGGGGTTGCCACCACTCATCATTCCTGTAAAAAGCAGAGTAAGGCATGGTTATGGTGGAGGAATAATGCACATAAATCGCTCACTGACACAAGCACACATCGTATATAAACCTTTAAATGAACGGACCCCACTGGCATCCAGAAAATATGCAGTTTGGGCTTATTTTTACCACCTAATAGAGCAGACAGATGGAACGGCCCAAGTATTGGTAAAGAGGCCAGCATTCACTTAGATGATCAGGGTCTATAATTTGCAAAGAGGAAACAATGCCATATTTAGATAAAATCTGCTCTTACTACATTACCAAGGAAGTGTAAGAATAGCCAATGAAGTTATCAAGCACTATTATTCTACAAAGACACAGTGTATTGTAAAAAATGACACCAGAACATTTTAAATACTTAGAGTACATTAACACATGATCATGATTTGCCGCGGATTTTAATCCTGATTATATGCCAATTACTTATTCATATGTTTAATGGGGGGGGGGGGAGAAAGTTCTAATGTGCCAAGTGCTTTGTGTTTCAGCAATTCAACATCATCAATATATCATGCCTCTGAGAACACTGCTGATCTCTCTTTTCATGGGTACTAGCAACAGCTACCTTAACAATTTAATTTAAATATCAACAAAGAACAAGTTGTATAGAAATCAAAAGCCTTCAAGTGGAATGCCTCTTAATCACTCCTTAGTAAGAGGTTCATAAAGGAATTCATACCACAACCAGCGCTTCTATTTCACCAATTCACACTCACCAGTGCTACTGTTAACCATGCCTCCTTGATTTCCCATCATGCCTTGGCTGTTCATCATACCAGGCTGCATTGCAGCGTATGGACTGGTATTTCTCATTGGTGGGAAGGATCCTGCATTGGCCTGGTTTTGTAAATTCATATCCAGTGATAAATTCTGATTTGATAACCTCCCAAGCTGCGCAGTTCGTGGGTTATTAAAGGCTGTGCAGGCAAAACAAGATAAAGTTTAATTGCAAAAAAATAAAAAAAAAATAAAAAAAAACACACACAGATATTTAAACTACATAAATTCAATCCTACAAATGCATGGAATTATAGGATTACTACACTAAATACAACAAGGAGTATTTAATTTCTCAAACACTTCCTGGCTATTAAGAGAAACATTAGTTGTACGTGTTCCACTATTGATACTTGTAAAATGGAGAATCTTTACACATCTTTACATTAGGAAACAAAAGTAGTGCTGAATCATGGAAAAGCTTAGAAAAATATATTTTCTTTAAAAAGTGATTTTTTTTTTTTTTGGATTTTTTTTTTAAAGCAGTCCTGAGCAAACACAATGGAGAATACAACTTTTATAATGGAGGAAGATATTTCTATGCTATGTCATTTTTAGCAATTCCGAATATTAATCTACAACAGACAGCAGGTGGTGCTGTTGGCTACATAATCACTTCTGATGAAACCCTGTCTTGGCCAAAGCAGAATGCCAGCTGTTTTACTTGCTTGACAAGCAACAGGAAATCCTACAAAGAGGTTTGTGACTTACTGTTCTGTTGCTGCTGTTGCTGTTGCTGCTGCTGCTGCTGCTGTTGTTGTTGCTGCTGCTGTTGTTGTTGCTGCTGCTGCTGCATCTGCTGCTGTTGTTGTTGCTGTTGCATCTGCTGCTGTTGCATCTGCTGCTGCTGCATCTGCTGCTGCTGCTGTTGCATCTGCTGCATCCGGAGCATTCGCTGCTTCTGGATTGCAGGAGACAGGCCTGCGCTGTCCCCAGCAAACTGCATCAGGTCATTGATGATGGCTTGTTTATCAACAGAGTTAGCATCCGACCGAATGTCTGAGAAGACCTGGTTTAACTGGCTGCTGTTCTGCAGGTCGTCCAAGATTTCATCCAGGTTATCCAGATCCGGACTAGGCTGTAACAGCTGCTGGGATATTAAATAAATTACATTAAGATAGGAAACCATTTTCAAACAATATTCATTCATTTAAAAATAAATAAATTTAAAAAAATGTAAAAAAATAAAAAAAAAATGAGTAGTATTAATTGAGGACAGTGTTCTCCCACAGAACATTTCAAAGTACCAAGAAAAGAAACAGATGGTAAACTTATAAAGAACAAAGTAAACATTGCATCTATTCATTTCCAAAGTAGACAATACTGTCAAAGTTATAGGCTTGCATGCACACACACTTCATAACAATCTAACTTATGTGGAGCATGTTTGAAGTGTACACACAAAGTATTCCACTAAACAATGCATTCATTACAGTGAGACACTGAGATTCTTTATAGAACACTAGATCGTCTAAATCAATCATCAGCCAGAGTTACCTACAAGGTACATTTGTCTATAGGAACATGTGCTCATGTGAATTGCAGGGTGTCCCAAGCTGCAAACAGATCAATTTGTAGAGGAAAATACAGCTCCTCATAGGAGAGGTACAGACTGACTGTACGAGTTCTATGGGTCCCGACTAAGGATGGCAAACTATTTCCACCAAAATATTTTATCTGTTGCGCAAAGGTTATCCATTACTAGCGTAGTCCTTTCTAGAAGAGAACTTAATGTCCACAATGGAAATCTGACTGAGCAGATGTGTCTCGGCATGCTCAGTACTTCCCACCATGTACTAGTTATCCTGTCACATTTTAGCACATTGCATCATCAAATATATCAAAATATGTAGTAAGTATGTTAGTGGTCTGCCTGGATAATAAGCAAAGTCACAGCTGCATGTTGACAACACAAAATATTTTAGATGTTAAGTATTCAGCAGCGGCAAAATTTCCTAAATTAAACCAGGAATGCTTGCTCATATATTGTATTATACTATATATTAGAGATTCACTGAAATTTCGGCCGAAAACTAGTCTGATTTGCTTAAATAAAAAAATAAAAATATATATATTTTTGTAGTGCATAGTTTAACAGACATGCTTGCATTAACAATTCAGATAATTAGATATCACAATGAAATATAGTAATGATAACATGAAAAGTCAAGAATATTGCACTATGGGACAGGGGAAGAGGGGAAGAGGGGGGTACACTACGGGACAGGGGAAGAGGGGGTTACACTACGGGACAGGGGAAGAGGGGGTTACACTACGGGACAGGGGAAGAGGGGGTTACACTACGGGACAGGGGAAGAGGGAGAACAAAATGGGACAGGGGAAGAGGGAGAACAAAATGGGACAGGGGAAGAGGGAGAACAAAATGGGACTGGGGAGGAGGGAGGAAAGAACATTAAAAAAAAAGAGGGAGGGGAGAGGAAGACTAGAAGGGGGAGAGAGGAACATTAAGCTGGGGGGACCACTAAAAGAGAAGGTAAGTTTTTCATATTAGATTAAATTCATTAAAAAGTTTAATATTAATAAAATTATAGGAAAACTTTTAAAAAAAATTATTTGGGGGAAAAAAAAAGTCATTTTTGGTTTCGGTTTTGGCCCAGAATTTTCATCTCGGTGCGTCCCTACTATATATTCTTCCAGTCTGTGTTTAAATTATTGTCCATACAAAGTAATAGCCATGCATTACACCAGTAGATGTCACAGAGTAATAACACAATAGGGGAATCAGTACATTTACGAAATCTCTCTCTCAGGTGACCTCCACCCCCTTTTTAAAGCTAAAACCAAGGATTTAAAATACTTTGTCACTTTTACATACTTCTTGGTTTGGAAGAATAAATACTTTGAAATGAGTAAAGTGTACAAGGCTAGTTTTTAACCATTCCTATAGAAATGTCTACTTTTCGCCCCTTCATTAAAATGGGCATATACTGGCTGTGTATGAATAGGGTGAGTTATGACACACTGCCCCAATATTAAAGTGGGCTAGATTTGCCAGACGTGGTATCATTGTATGGTACATTCTCAGCATTCGGTGGCACAGCACGCTAAATCTTCAAATAAATTATGGATACGCTCAGAATAGAAAAGGCAGTTACATACTCTCTGGCCACCAGGTCGTGTTTATCTTATAATTTACTGAAGTGATTAAATCAAACAGGAGAACACTTTCGTTTTGGCAAAAATGGTGTGTACTTCATAGAGTGTATATACATCTATGTTAAAAACAATTCTTTGTTTTCCTCTAAACCTTACTGGGAATAATTCAGTTTTAAAAGAGGATTATCAGAAATTTACACATATAACAGACTACTAGCTCTTTTAAACCTGTAATTACTAACAAACTTTCTAAAGCAGATTCATTACTACATGTATGTTATTTCTAAGAAGGAAAGCAATACACCTCATTACATATATAGGGGATTTTTTTTTTTTTTTTTTTACAAAGTTTGGTTTGAACTCATGATTAATTAACAATTTAGTTTCTGTGGAGAGGGGGGGGGGGAGGGGATTAAACCCTAGGAGTGGCATGGACTACCCAAAAACAGGAAAGTGTGTGCATTAACACATCAATATCATGCACTGTAATAAAACATTTTTTTGCCCAACGTAGATGATCCATGCAGGAAATCTGGTACTGACATGGGGTCAAACATACTATTTGATGGCAATGACCTTTAACCCCTTAAGGACCAAACTTCTGGAATAAAAGGGAATCATGACATGCCACACATGTCATGTGTCCTTAAGGGGCTAATCAAACAATACTGGCTTAAAATATGTTCTACCGTTACATTGATCAATCATTTATCTATTTCCTTTCCACCTGAAGCTATATTACTGAACCATATCATACAATGGTTTAGAAGAACTCGATTACAATTTGACTTTTTAATGAAGCTAAAAAGTACAGACCCCATTTTTTTTTATACAAAACCTCATTATAAAGATATGTTCGTTAAATTAGACCGGTTTAGAGTAATGGATGATTATTATTGGAGGCGTAAACTAATTCTTCCATCACATAAGATTCCTTAATTTCAGTATTCTCTGAATGTAACAATTGAAGACACACTTTACAGGTATTAGAATATATACAATATACAGCTGAAAGGTTAAATTAAGATCCCTCCTTTTTCAACCCATAGGTAGTTAAAATTAGATTCAAACAAAGGGATATATTAATGTAGATAATTAGGATTTGGCATGGTTAGAAATCTAAAATATGTAAAACTTACAACAAAACTTTTTCTTTTATCTTGTGCATCTATGTGTAAACAAAACATGTATTTGCCCAGTTTATTGGAATTGTGAATTTATGGAATAAAAAAAATAAATAAAAAAAAAATACAAGTACAGGAACAAAATCTTGAATTCAATAAGCAACAGGTCGCCCGCAGTCTAGAACTCGGTAGATATTCTGATAGAATAATGAAGAATTACATTGAACCGGAATGTCTGGAGTCTGACTATAGGTCTAGGTCAGCTCCCCAATTCTCTGTATAGTCGGAGTTCAAGTATTGGAACCCTGAAAGCAACATCTCAAAGGAGACACCGTGCTCTACTCACAGAACAGCAAGGTGCCAAGAGTAGCCAAATAAGAGTTCAAAAGCAGAGCTGGTGAACAACTATTTTGGCAATGATGACAGTACACTACTCATGACTTCGTTAATAACCCCCCAGGGATTTTGTGGAAGCCATACAACTTCCCTCAATAGAACATTCTGAAAAACAATATGCCTTTGGGGGTCTGCTCAGTTACCCCAGATCTACAAAGCGGAGTTTCTATTGGTTGGAGAACATTATATGCATGCAGAACTCATAACTACTCACAAGAAGTAGTTTACAGCATTATTAGATTGCTTTCTCGAGTACACCATAGAAACTTAACAATGGAAGGGTTTTTTGTTTTTTTAAAGAATTTCAGTATATATTATAAATTTAGGAATGAGTCTCAGTTTTTTTTTTTATACAAGGAATGGGCCTCCAATAATGCCATGTACATATTTGAGTCCCTTGATATAATGGAAGGTCATGTCAACTTTTCTGAAATCAAGCCGTAGAACAGCATAGCATCTCTAAAAAGCAACATATGGAAGATAAAATAAATAAATAAATAAATAAATAAAAAGTATAAATAATAAATCACGGTCACCAAGTTGATCTCAACACCGGTATTAAAGATCTGTGTTACAACAAAAATACAGATCTGCTCTGATAAGGAACTCACAGGGTTATTCACCACAGACAGAATTTAAATGACCAATATAGACACCCAGACCACTTCAGCTTAATGAAGTGGTCTGGGTGCCAGGTCCAGCTAGGGTTAACCCCTTTTTTCTATAAATATAGCAATTACAGAGAAACTGCTATGTTTACATTAGGGTTAATCCAGCCTCTAGTGATTTTCACAGTGAGAAGACGCCAGTATTGAGAATGCTTTCCTATGAGACTGGCTGAATGCGCGCACCGCGCCTGCGTATTCAGCCGAGGAGGAGAGTCCCCCGCCCAGCGCTGGAGAAAGAGATAAGTTTAACCCCTTCGACCCCCTACAGCCCGGCCGGAGGGGGACCCTGAGGGTGGGGGCACCCTTAGGGCACTATAGTGGTCCTTTAAGGTGAAAAGAGTCACATATGCTTTCAGTCTGAATTCTCGTGTTGGTGAATAACCCTGTCAGATTTCTGAAGTCAGACCTGTAAATTGCCTGACAGGCATGATTAACAGAAGGAGCCATTCTTCTGATTAAATATATGTGAAACATTTTTGTATGGATAACCTGCACATAAACATACTTCACAGCAGAAAAACAAGTCCAGGCGTTAAACCTCCATGTTGCCAAATACACAAACTGCAAA